TATATATATATATATATATAGATAATTTTTATTTTTTTTAAATCCCCGAGTTGAACCCCTTATCCGAAATAACTCGGTCTCTGCCACTGCCTACCCAATTAACTCGAACGAGTCCGAGCTGACACGGTCGATTTTTCAAACACCTGTCATGGGCGTCCTTCTCTATTCTTATTCTCTTTTTGCCATGAAAATCGTTTTTTATTCATTTTCATTTTTCAGTGGAGGACTTCGATTGAATAGTGAATCTATGGGGCCACGTTTGAGAAAAGGGAAAATGTGATGCAGCGAAATCCACCATTGCCAAATCAAAATGTATTCCCATCAAAATATTTTCCCCTAAATCATGTTTTAGCAAGGAATTGATTTATCCTAAGGAAAATTGTTTCCTCCTATTTTGTTAACCTATCTTGAACTCCTCAGAAAATCAGTTTTTGCTTGCTGCTTGTCCGGGAGGTGTCGATCAGGAAAAAGAAAAAGAAGTACATAGTAAGATCACTTATTTATATTTGGTACATGAAGTTCACAACTGATCTTGACCATTGCATTTAAAATTAAATGATTGTATTTATTCTATTAGGTAAATGGTCTCATAGTATATGATCCCTTCTTTTTTTTATAATTATAGGAATGAGAGGTCCCTACGTGTTTTTTGAATTAGTTAATGGTTTTTTAAGTTATCCATGAGATTGAAAACCACAATATACAATTAATGAATTAATTAATGGTTTTTTAAGTTGTCCATGAGAATGAAAACCACAACATACAATTGCAATATGGGGTGTGCTACCACCACGACCTCAACCCCTCTCCCGTATACAAGCCCTTATTAAAAAGGGTAAATAAACAGTATTCAACAGTTACTTAAAATAGCTGAAATTCACATATCTATGACAAATGAGATTTTCCAAAATAACCCATTAATTGTAGCATTATTTTTTGATTTAGTATTAATATCACTAATTATTATTAATAAATTCTTTCCATTGAAGTAGACAAAATTCCCAATGAGAACCAAAGGGTGGGCCTACATGCCAGCTCAATCTTATGGGAAAGCATAACATGCACCATAAGTGTAACTATGCAACGAAACATCCCTTCACTTGTAATGAAGGTTTAAAACCAATTTGCTACAATTTCTTTTTAAAACGTAAATAAATACAAAAAATGCTTCAAAATCTGAAGTGAAATTCGTTGAACATTAATTTTTCTTGTTCTTTTTTCTTTTCTGTTTACCATGTGTGATGAAACCCACCAAAAATACGAAAGAGCACAAAAAGATGGGAATTCACCACACTACAAATTATTTACAACATTAATTTTTCTTCTTTTTTTTTCTGTTCTGTTTACCTCGTGTGATGGTAACCCACCAAAAATACGAAAGAGCACAAAAAGATGGGAATTCAACTCATTATAAATTATTTACACTGCCTAGACCTGAAATTTTCAGGATCAAGAAGTTTCAAGAGCAATTTTTCGAGCCTCTTCGAACCCAAACCAGGTCTAACAACATCAAGGCCTCCTCTTAAAGAAGCACAAGGGTCTCTTCCTAAAGATTTTGAACCCATGCACCAACCACCAGGGGTAAATTTGCCAATAGATCTTCCCAAGAGCTCCTTGTCTATTTTCTCCAAGACTGGAGCATCCCTAGCAAACTTGCGAGCAAAAGGTGCACCACTCTGTACCATGCCTTCGAAATGCACAGAGGTGAGAGATACTGGGTGTTGTCGAGGTGGGTTGTGCCACATAATGTAGTGGAGGTCATGGTTGATGGTTGTGTTTTGGTAGTCCTTGGCATTGCATATAACCGTGTGGAAGTAACCCTCTGGCGAAGATAAGAAGTTGGTGTAGTACAAGAGGAGCGTTCGGGGGAGGTTGTCCCAGCCGTGTATGCAGAACTCGAGGAATGACCGGCTCAGCACCACCCATGCAGATCCTAGGGAGAAAGGGAAGAAAATCTGTGCTTAGAATATGTGAAAATGGCAATGCACTAGTAGTGCAAGAGTTTTTGGGTCCAGTGAGAAATATGGGTGTGAATATGAAGGATCTCTCTCTCTCTCTCTCTCTCTCTCTCTCTCTCTCTATTATTAGAAGTCAACAGAAGCACCTATATCTTGTTTACATTTAGAAATCATATGCTTAAAAATCACATTTAACTCAATTCTCACTAAAAATTTTTGGCTCTTTGTTTCTTATAAGGAAACTTTCAGCTAGTTGACAGCAAATTAAGTTAATAGATGTGTAAAACCAAGCAGGTGCCAACATGGAGCACATTAAGGCTTTCACTGAAGTCAAGCACCATAGATCATTGGCATGACATTTTCTGTATCAACAGTCAGGTTTTTGAAGTTGAACCCCATTCGTACCTAAACAGAAGGAGAAGCATATTTGCATGCCGATGCAAAGTACCAAGTCAATTATCCAAAAATGCTAACCCAATAGAGAGCGTCACAGCCTTATTACTGCAGCTTGAATCCTTTTTTAATAACTACAGGATGAATCCATATCACAAAGACAGCGCCGGAAATGCCCTCCCAAAATTAGCTGCTGAGACACGGCACATTCCTAGGAGATGCGGTCGAAAAAACAAAAAGAATACAAGATTCTTTTAAGTTTCTGAAGTGTGGGACATATATGTTTAGTCCTTTGAGTGCCGACACATGCCAAAAACCAGGGAAACACATGCCCAACTAAGTGGATGATTCCTATCTTCCAATTTTGTCCAGCCTCAGAAATCACACCACCATTCATTTCACCACAACTATCCAGACCAGCCAGACTGCCTACAAGTACAATGGTCAGTTTGATCCAAAGCAAAACCATGCTTCACTTAAAAACCAGTCAAAACCAAAGTTTGGCAGGCGTTAGCCTGTTGGACTGACCAGCTCTTACTGGTTGGACTGTCTAAAACAAGTTTGGGCAAAGTATTTTTCTTTCATACATTATACTTTACAATTTGTTTTACTGTTTTCCCTATTTCCCTTCGCTTTCTAAAAATCTGCTCCAGCCAGCCCTATGGGGAGACCCCTCATCTGATTGGTGGCCAGTCCAATCTTGTCAACATTAGAGGCTTACATAGACATTCAAGGTAAAAGTCCACTCCACGATAATGTTTCTGTACAAATAGAGCATTAAAAAAGCTAGAGAGAGTAGTACAAATTGCTTTTTTTTGTTTTTTCCATTAAGCTAGTTTCTTGAAGGCATAGAATATGAAGGAATATCAGCCTTTAGGCTGAGTACAGATCAAATAAATGAATGAATATCAACCTTTAAGTTGAGAATAGATCAGGCATAGAACTCCAGATGCCTAAACAAGTGTGGTCACAAGCCCATAAATTATCAAAGCTTCAGGCACATCCATCACAACAGCCTTTATGTTAACATGAGGTCTCTAAAAATGACACATAAATGGAAGACTGCCTCTCAAGTTAAAAGGGCAACATAATCAGCACATATCATTCTCATGCAAAGCACATCCAACCCACATTCTCAAAAAATGAGTCGGACAAGCTAGTGGCACCAATGATGATAAACACTTGCAAAGCTGGATAACCCAATAAATGATCCCAACTTAATGCGTGTGACTATTTTAGTTTTATCCTTGCTTTACAAATCGAATTGGGCATTTTATTTTTAAGAATTTTTTTTTATATTTTTTTACAGGTACCCCCAAGTTAAAAGTATACACCCTAAAAATTGGAGCTCAATTTGATTTAAAATAATAATAATAATAAATTTGAAACAACTGTCATGCAGTCCCCCCATCCAGATTTGATTGGAATGTGAGCAAATGCTAGAGTACCCTGGGTGAATTTAAGCTTTTCCCATATGTATGTGTGTATGGAGAGAGAGAGAGAGAGAGAGAGAGAGAAAGAGAGACCCAACTTTTTTATTCTTTAGAAGAGAGAAAAAGGTCTTTCAAATGTTCACTTTTGTGTTTGTCTAAGCGCTATTACGCAAGTAGTATGCGTGCATGTGGGAAATGTCTGTGTGCGAAGAGAGAGATTTGATTATTTCTTTGGTTTATGTGTTTGTGTCACGTGTGCTTTTAATGTCCATATTTTTTTAATATTGTAGAGAAAAATAAAAAAAAGCAAATAGTTTCCAAAGCAATAAGGTTAAAGTGGTAGAGTGATTCATTTGACCTCAAGAGGTCTCAAGCTGGAGCCCTCCATGTTAAGGTTTACCAAAGCTTACATGCTTTAAGACGCGAGTCTGCGTGTCTCTGGATAAGCTACGCAAGTCCTTATGGGCCTGCCCCATAGTCTCTAGATAAGACCAGCAGGTCTTTCTAAGTCATGTTTTTGCCATGTCCGATACATTTTGCCAGGTCAAAACACATCGATATATGAAATGGAGGGGACGTGGCATTTCCTGGTAACATAGATATTATCTTAATATCATCTAGAAATTCTTAGAATCTTTAAAAAATTCATATTCTCCAAAAGACAGCACTCACTTTGGTAGTAATCCACTCTAGTCCTTGCTTGCCCACCTAGGCATACCTTGCCAATTCCCTCCTCGAAGACTAAGTTCTCAATCTAGTCTTTTTCCATATCCTGATTAATAAAAGAGTAGCTGGTCTTACAACCCATGTCATCCACCTCCAACAAATGAAGGAACTCAACAAAATCATGGTCCCTTTAAAGTGAAGCTAAGACCCATGACAATCAAGGAGATCAACCAAATACTCCGTCCAGCAATAAAAGGCAGTAGCCGAAATTCCCAACACATTTTCTCTCCATCCAATTCATCTTGTGTTCAAGTGCCAATCCAATCACCTAAGGATAAAATAAAGGGATGCACAACACCCTTTGGACTATTTTTTAGATGAATCATAGTCCCAACTCAATCCATAGGACCCACGAAAGCCAAGAAAAACCTCAATGGGAAGCCGTAGTAAGCTGTTGAATAAAGGAAACCTAAAATCTTGAGAGTTCCAAAGATGGCAATCACCAAATCAAAGAGATGAAGACCCCTGGATCACATCCTCAAATGCAACCAATCCACAATTACCCAAACCACAATTTCTGCAACATATGCTATCATGGTGTACACTGTCATTAACCTTCTCCATGTCAACCCATGGCATTGCTCATGGGCCACTAAATCCGCATTCAAAATTGGACTCTCTCAGAAAACGCCCTTAGCTTTGGAAACCAGAAACAGTCTCACTTCCTCAGTAAGTAATCCCAAGTCCCAACACCTTGATTAGGATGTCATAGAGACCTCCCACCAAGCTGAATGGCGAGCTCTAAAAATGGAAGGGCCAATCTATGGTAGGAGCTAGCACTAATCCAAAGAACCAGTCAATATGTCTCATAGAATGTAGCAACATAGACATTATGTCCACCATGGTTAATTTAAGGGGAAATATCCTCCTACCCTTTATTTTTGGTTTTCACATCTCAATAGACCCAAAGATTCAAAATATATCTCCTAAACCCCTGACTAACTTTACCCACTTTTAACTATTTTTTTAACTATAACAAATATAAAAAAGACATGCTCATTCGAAACCATTCCTCTCTTTACGTGATATATTCCCCCCAAATTTCTCTCTCTAACATTCACCCTCTTTGTCTCTCTAAGGGGGGAAAGAGAGAGTGAGAAACACGGGGGGAGAGAGAGTCGGAAAATAGGTAGAGAGATTTAGAGGAAAATCACGTGAAGTGAGAGAAAAGATGGTGTTTAGAAAGGATGTCTTTTCTATATTTGTTAGGGGCAAAAAATACATTTAAAGGGGACTTAGCTTAGAGGGTTAAAAGATATAAAACATAGAATTTTTATGACCCAAGATATGTTTTGAAACCTTGGGTCTATTGAGATATAAAACTTAAAAAATAAGGGGTATGGAGATATTTTCCCTTAATTTAAATACCACATAAAAGACCAAGAGAAACATATCTAATGCAAGGGCCTTGGGCATTCCATGAAACTAAAGAGATTACATGAGAAAACTACCTATGTTAAACACAGACTAAAAGATGTTAGGAACCTATTATTTTTCATAATATCATCTTTGTCGAGGTGAAATTTTAACAATTCAAATATGTCCCTAAATGTTTCCAAACCTGCCCTCATTCAGAAAATGATTACACAAGAGGACCTCTATAGTTTGCTTTATACTAGGTTACTGCTTCAAGCTGGACTAGAAGTTCCTTTCTGATAAAATTTTTGAGATAAAAGCATTAAACACAAAGTGATTGGGACCACACTAGACTCTAAATGCCAACACACAAGAGGAGATGACACGTGGACTTAGAAGCATACATCTATACCCACACGAATAAGGTTCTCGCTTCTATGAGAAAACACGACCATCAAGGGAATCTCGTAGGGTTTTGCTAGAATTGACTCAGAGGGCATGCTAGTGAGAGTGTCATCCATCTTAGTTCCTCTGTGAGCATATTTGAGCAGGAAATTTGGTTTTAAGTCTTCCCTAGACCCTATCCAACATAGAAGAGACTATTAAACTATTGGACTTTTTGGGTATTGGCTAATTCGACTCCGCGTGCTTTTTCCCCAGGGATCTCATCTTCCCATAATTTTAAGATGTTCATACATTAAAGACCTTAATTATCTACAGCAGTGCAAAATAGCAAATGAGGCACAATAAAGGAAATAAATCTTCCCAAAGTTTAACATACTAAAAATGTTGGAGGAGAGCAATAATGGTGAACAGTTCTAGTGGTAATACAAGATTAACGTGTATGCATTTTATGGTAAGATAACAGGAAGAGCAATGCATGTAATGCCATTTAATGACTTAGATTTTAGATTATACGTAAGTTTGGAAACTACCTATAAATATTTTGAAGGAAGATGGCATGGAACGATGCTGAGTGGCCCAAAATATGTCAGATTTTTCAGAATTGTATAATCCTGGATCTATGATGATCGGTTTTGCCCTTTGGTACCTGCAACAATAGGATGAAAAAATGGTCAGAATTTATTTATTCCCTATCTAATCATCATAACTTCAACCATTAGTTGCAAGAACCTTTGCAATCAAAATATTGGAGAACATCAAACCTAAAATAGAAAACAAAGCTCACTCTTTCCATCCGATGTCACTCGTGTGCTCAATGAAGTTCAGGTCCCTAGGCATGTATGAGAAAACATGAAGCAGGTCTGCAGCAAAAAGCACGAGTCAGTAAACCAACACACTTTTGGAATAAATAAAACTAACTGTGAATAAAAATATAATCATGCGAATAATGAAATTGCACAGTTACCACCATTATAGGTGATCATATTGAGATTTCATTGGATAATAACTACTAGAACCAATGTTGTCAGATTCGGTTCGGAGTCTTCTTTGGTTTGGTGAGAAAAATGAAGCATTTTGATGCTTCGGCCAATTGGGGGAAGACTTTGAAATTTTTTTAATTTAATATAAATAAATTAGATAGTTATATATAAACATATATAAAAATAATGAAAAAATAAAAAAAAAATTCAAAAAAAAAAAAAAACTTTTATATGGATATTTCTTTGCTTAAGCCGAATCTACCCTAAGTAGACCCGAATCTGACCAAAGCGGTACGAACCTGGCCGAAGTGGCAGCTCTAGGCTTCACTTTGTTTCAGTCTAAGCCTAAAATCCAAAGGCTTCGACCTCTTCGGCCGAAGCGAAGCAAATTTGAGAACACTAACTAGAACAAATGATATAGAAAAATTATGCCTCATTATTTTTTCTGATAGATAGGAATTCCCCTTACCTCAAAAAGAATATAGCCTAATTTCATGGATTTATTTATGGAAAAGTTTTTCATTCAGGGTGGACTGCATTTCTACATATGCGGTCCAGAAAGTGTAAAGCTTCCATCATTTTGAAGATGGATGCAAGTAGGTGTCCCATCTAAAAACAATGAAAACTAACGGTCCAAATGCTTTCTTCCTGAAATTATTATTTCTAGTTTTTAAAATTTATTTACTTTTTTATATTTATGATCCTCCATGTTAGAGATTACATGTCCTTAAAAATTAAGTCTTAAATCCATCTCAAAAATAGATTTATTAAGAGGCCCACATTTCTACATATGCGGGCTTGGCCACATAGAAACCGGGTCCTTTATTTATACACACCATTGTTAAAGCCTGAGCTAGTAAATTTAGAAGTCCATTGATAACTTCATGAAGAAGTCAAAGAAGAAAAATGCATCCAATCTGAGAAAAACTGACCCGATCAATTCAAAATTATATGAATCAGGGGGTGGAATCTAAAAATGTATACCAATAAATAATCAGTTAAATCATACCTTCAAAGAAAACTTTGAAACAAATTTTTATTTGACACAAAGAAATGCTGAAATGATGTTTTATGCACAAAATACAAGATGGTGGGGAGGAAACACCACATACATCAGGTGCAGTCAAGTCAAACAAGGGATTAACTATATTGACAGCCATGTGCACCTGAATCACTAAAAAATGAATAGATAAATAACCACCTATAGGAAAAAAAATCACTGGTGGCAATAAAAAAAAAACATAGAAGTAAACGAGAAAGAGAGAGAAAAGTTCAAAAAAATGTAATACCCAAAACCAGGCACAGAGAAACAAGCAATTTAAAATAAATATAAATATGCATCCTAAAGCAACCAAAAGAATCCCAGCTACCAAACACCAAAGATTTCCAAACAAAAATCACAGAAACCCATTCGATGGACAATGAGAAATAGATCAAATTAATACAAAAACATTTGATACCAAACACTAAATGAAACTAATCTACACTAAAACCAAAAGAATCCCAACTACCAAACACCAAAGATTTCCAAACAAAAATCACAGAAATCCATTCCATGGACAATGAGAAATTGATCAAATTAATACAAAAACATTTGATACCAAAAACTAAATGAAACTAATCTAAACTAAAACAAAAAAACTAACCATCCTGAGTCATCAGAGGATAATCAGAAGCACTCAAATTGATGAACCAGTCCCAGGCCTTCGCCCTTTTCAGCAGAATCGCCACTGCATGGAGAGTGCAAGCAATCATGGTCGGTCCTTTATAAGTAACAAGGTTTGCATTGCCTACAACCTTAACATTATTGGCCTCCACAAACACTGCCTCCAGTTTAGCAAACTTAGCTAAATCTAGCCGCTCTTTTGGTGAGGCCTCGAGATCCATATGCAAAAGATAGTAATTTCTAGGATGATATACAGCTTGTAACAATCTCCTCATTCTCAACCCATCTCCTTTTGTTCCAGAAATGAGATATGCGAACCTTGGGAGCCGCGGAAACCCTGATTCTTCAGTAGAATCAAAACCTACACCCAAAAGTTCAGAACTTTTATCGGATTCGAACCCAGAGATCGTAGAAACTGGGGTCTCAAAACTATGATTTTCATTCCTTAGGGTTGCAACAATAAGAAAAGTAACAGAGGCCAAAGAGCTTACGAGCAAAGGCATTAGCCATTTTCTCTCCAAGCGGGAGTTGCAGAGATGGTGAGGCTTCTTCATGGCTTGAAGAATAGCCAAATTTGGCTGGAACTCTAGAGGAGAAAAACTTCAAGAGTGATCATGGTGCGGTAAATTAGAAGGAATCGCCAGATTTCGAGAAGGCAGTTGCAGAGATAGTGGGGTTTCTTCATGGTCCAAAACTAGGTAGAATTTAAGTAAAGAAAATTCTTCATAGAAAGCTGGAAATCTCATGCGGAAAGTGGCAACAAATTTAGGGTTTGAGGATGCTAAATTTGGAAGGACAGCCAGAAAGGGAGGTAAAAGACAGTTGAGAGACGAGTTGCAGTGTATCCATCGATCGTGGCCGTCTCCAGAAACGAGGAAAGCGCCTTTTTAATGGGCCCCCTATTTGTGTTTTTAAACTCAACTTTGGAATGTTTTTTAACCAAGTTCAGAGAGAGAGAGAGAAATTATTTGTATTTTTAAAGTGAAGCGTGGAGATAATATTTTTTTACCAAGTTTAGAGAGAAAGAGAGAGTAATTAACATTTCTTTTTAACGGGAGAGAGGGGAGGAGAGAGAACTATATAGACCCGAGGTTCTAAACAATCAAAATAAACTGCACTTTCAAATAATAAATATGGCTTTAATATTGAAAATCTGTGTGACAACTTTAAAATATATTGTTATTTTTAATTATAAAATTTAAAGTTTTGTAAATCAAATGGACTTATAAAAACTTGAAAATTTTGAAAATCAACTGCTCAAAAATTTAAATTTGTTAGAAGGTACATAATTTTCAAAGCTTTGAGTTAATTTTTTTCTCATGTCTATATATCTCGACGCGAAGATGATCAACTTAAAGATATTTGAGCACCAAAATAACGATTTCTAATGAAATTTTTAAGGGAACCCTATTTAAAATTTTGCCAATTAAATAATGTTTTGAAATTGCAGTTTAGGAGATAGAGGAGCACGGAGGTTTGAATATGCAACGAGGTGGGCCCACTTATCGCCGAAAGAAGTAGCAGCGAATGTAATGAGGAGTACGACTGATATTTTTATTGATGTTTTGAAACTCCTGAATCAAATTGGTTTCGTATGCTTCCCCGAAAATTGTTTCCCATGAGATATTAGGTAGTATGTAGGAATTTTATTTGGGAAAGGTTTATACATAGCCGAGACTCTAAACGATCAAATTTGAGCCTATTTCAAAACTTTCATTAGAAGAGGCTGTTTTGATGCCTAAATATCTTCAATTTGATTATCATGAAATCAATATGAATGGACATGAGAAAAAAATGGATTTCAAGTTTTGGAAATAGCGCAATTTGTAACACATTTTTTTACCGTCAATTTTCAATATTTTCAAGTGTTCATAGGTCTGTCGATCTTACACTATTTTTTAAGCTTTAAACTTTGTAAATAAATATGAAAATATATTTTAAGGCTATCACAAAGATTTTCAATATTAAAACCACATTTCTCGATAGTATTTGAAGGTACGGTTTAATTTGATTGTTTAAAGCCTAGACTCTATATAAACCGCACCCATTCTATTTGAATTAGTTTCTTATAGGGAAAATATCATTAAAGGGGATAAAACCCCTTAGAATATCACTAGATCTTATAAACTTGTTTCTCATAGAAAAAGCCATTGCCCTTTTTCTCACCACTCTTTTCGCACAAAACAAACACCGGAAAATAGCTCTTTCCTTGGAAGTACTTTCTTAGAGAGGGTTTTCCCATGAACCCTACAAGTTATGTTTATTAATGTTCTTGGTTGTTATATTTTTTTATAGAAGATGAATAGGATCATCAAACGGAACCAACGAACTAGTTAAACTAATAATTTTAGTCGTAAGGTGGTTTACTTTTCAAAAAGTTCTTTCATTTACATGCGTCCTTGATAAATTTGCTAAATAATACCCCTTTAAAACGAAGAATAAATGAGGGTATTTTTTGTAAATTGACATACTCAACCCACTTGAGCCAAATAACATGAATATCTCTTATAATATTGTATATTGTCTATTTTAGTTGGACGGTATAAGAATAAGCTGACAATATTGTCGAATAAACTTGCAATATTGGACACCGTCCATTTTTATATGGGCATCCATCTTTGTTGATAAGCATATCATATGATATCTTTATTGCATTCTTCCTTTTTTCTCTCTCTTTCCTTATTTCCTTTTATATTGGTTTTATATGCAAGAGTGAGGCTTTGTAAAATAGACTACATATACTAAGACCTCCAAACCCAAAAGTACCATGGAAACATTTTCCAACCCATACATCACCCTCCCCAAAGAAATTGGTTAAACTTTCGAATTCCAAGAAATTGACACCAAACCTGAACAAGTCAAATGTCAATTCAGTTTCCTTAGTTAAGTTTATTATTTGCACATCAAGGAATATTTGTTTACTTGTGATAGGAAAAAGCCGTGGCATATTCTTCAAATTGTGAAATGCTTCTTTTGTGCTAATTTCCTTCTATAGATTATGTAAAATAGAAAGAAACATGAAAAGGTATATGTTTTTGTGGTATTTCCTGTTTGTTCGTCCTTAGCTCCTTTTTAGTTGTTTATTTTATTTAGACTAGCGGAATCCACATGCTCCGCACGTGATTTGAATTGGTTTTTAAATAAATTAAAAGGTTTTTAATAAGGGTGTGATTTACATAAGGTCGCAACCTTAAAGAATCAAAGTAAGGTGCACCATCAAATATTATCATAAGATGTACTTTTGGAGTAAAAATTCATAGGATGTCTTGAGATATATTTGTCATGGTGATATGTTGCGTTGCCAGTTTAACTTGTGTAATGAATTTAGATGCCAACACTAAGTGGCTCTAGACATACTTAGTGAAAGGCAATAGTGAAAATTTTCCACTGTAAGAATAACTAATGTAACTTATATTGAATTAAAACAAATGAAACTTAAAAAAAATATATATAATTTGACTGATAAATTGATATTATACTTATAAATATATAAATAATTGATTAAGATTCAAAGTTAATATTCAACAAAATATTAATCTAGAACAATGGAATGTGTCTTTTTTGTGGTGTCACTATGTTTTGCTACCCGTTCGATTCGTATTAAGTTATTTTAAAGAAGTATTAATCTTAAGTAAACTATTGCCTAGAGCAGTTAAATGCGTCGTTTTTGTGGGCCATTATTTTGTACGACCCACAACTTTTTAAAGAGATTAACATAAATGTAGAATTTATTTAAATTGGTCACATAGTTTTATTATAGAGTTTTACATGTCGAAGTCAATCTAACTTTTATATAATCCATATTTAGTTTTAATTAATTTTATAGTAATATAATGTGTCATTTGTGTTGGCACTATATTGTGCTACCCACTTGACTTGTGTAAAATTTATTTTAAGGAAGTCAATATAAATGTAGTATTTATTTAAAAAACAATTGTTTCATGCAGGCTGGACCACATTTGTACAATATATGATCCAGATGTATAAAGCATCCATCTTAAAGATGAATGCAAATAGGTAGTCCATCTAAAAACAATTGTAAGTCCAAATGTTTTTTTAATATAATTATTATTTCTAATTTTAAAAAATAATTTATTTTTCATATTCATGATCTCCATGTTAATGATTATATATTCTCTAAAAATTAGGATCAAATTATATTTAAAAAATATGTTTATTTCCAAGCCCGCATTTCTACATGTGCGGGCTTGGACGCATACTAACCGCGTCCTTATTTAAAATGAACATATTGTTTCATTGAAGATTTTAAAGGGATACGTACATTACACTCATGAAAGGGCTGTATGCTTTAATTGCGTACAAGATTAGAAGCTTTTCAATGTGGTCTTTGCATACTATATTGTCGGTCTGTTTGTTATTAATGTTGTATTTTTTAAGCCATTTAGATTTTTGTTCTAATTATAAGTTATAATTTATCATAACATAAAGGGTGCAATTTGTATAGGGTCGAGGCTCTAAACAATCAAATTAGAGCCCATCTTCAAATAGTGTCGAGAAATATGGTTTCCATAGTGAAAAGTTTTGTGATAGCCTTAAATTATATTTTCATCTTTAATTATAAAATTTAAAGATTAAAAAATAATGTAGATAGAGCAAATCTATGAAAACTTGAAAGTCTTGAAAATTGACAGTCCAAAAATGCATTACAAGATGCACAATTGCCAATACTTGATATCTATTTGTTTCTTATATTCATGCATCTTGAGGTCAAGATAATCAATTTGATGATATTTGGACATCAAAACAACTTCTTCTATAGAAAGTTTTAAGATAGGCTCCAATTTGATTGTTTAGAGCCTAGGCTCTATATAAACTTTTCCCAAACATAAAAAATAATTTAAATATTTATAAGTTTTTAGTTATAATTTACAAGCCGACCCCAATTAATTGGAAAAAAAGGCTATGATGATGGTGATGAGGTATAATTTACAAATATATATTTATAACTTATATATATTTTGGTTATATAGTTATAAGTTATGATTTATAACATATAAATGACAATTTAAATGTTTTTGTTTTATAGATATATTCAACTATAATATGTGAAAAATGATAAATTAATATCCTTATATGAATATAATTTACAATACAATATTCAACTATATTCTATTGTTTTAAAATAATTTTATTTTACAATAATTTGGACGCTCATCAAATATTGGTGGTGAGTTTTTTAATAATCGTAAGTAAAGTATTGCTTAGACCAGTGTAATGCTTCATTTTTGTAGTAGCACTATATTGTCTTACCCATTCAATTTGTGTGAATTTGTTTTAAATAAGTTAAAATAAATGTAGAATTTATTTAAACTTCATATATTTTTTCATTACAGAGTTTAAATGACATTTGTGTTGGATTGCCTAACAGTTAATTAATAGAAATTCTTTATTGAGGTTTTGCTAGATTACATTGTAGGTGTATTAGATCAATGTGTCATATATGTGGAGCCACTATCTTGTGCAACCGCTCAACTTGTACCAAATTTAATTTAAAAAAGTCTGGTTTAAAAGGTCGTGATTGTAATCTTTTATTTCAATAAATACTTTTTTTCTTACTTTATAGCATTTCATAGTTCTAAATTTCAAAGATCTATCATCCGATGGACATCTTAAAGAAAATAATTGAAATTTTATTTTTTAAAAATTATATAGAGGATTTTAATTGAGGGATCATGCACATAAGGAAATACATAACCTATTGACATTACGTACTGATATTATTATTATTTAAGTTATTTATGAGCTTGTAAAGTCTTAACTTCTATATTGTAAAGTTGGTAGAAATATACAACTATTTATTGGATCGCCAACGTGCTAGGTAAATAAAAATGATTTAAATTTAATTTTGTTTATTAATTATGACA